TTGCCTTAAACTAATGATAGTTTAAGTGTCTGATTAATAATTGCCTTTTAAGAATGTGATTATGGAAATTATGATTTGGCCTTAGACTAAGAATAGCTAAGAGCATTGTTATGATCTGGCCTTAGACTAAGAATAGCTAAGAGCGTTGTTATGATCTGGCCTTAGATTAAGAATAATTTAAGAGCACCATTGAAATAGTATCTGAATTGAATAAAATGTGTTGATATGAACTGAACAATACCAAAACTGTGAATGTCTTAAATGAACATTGTGTGCACGATATCAAATGATTTGATTATGAATTTAGATTCAGTTTATATGGATGTTCGACGCATTAGATATGCTTACTCAGCTTTACCGCTGAGCGTGTAGTGTGTTTTATTTGCTACACGCAGGTAAACCGAAAGAACAATGTGATCCTGGCGGCAGATGGGGCGAGATTGTCGGGATGGATGTGACAAGTTTTGAAACAATTTATGATATGTCAATATTAAAATCGCTTCCGCAATATTGTTGAATACTCCGTACTGGATATGTTATGAAAAATATTATTGAGATTAATAAAGTGTGTTTGAAAAGTTTTAAATTTTTACGATTACCAAGTTAAATACTTTAGTCCGAATGGGGCTGCAGACCTGGACGGATTAGGGTGTTACAGTAAGTCATTAGTCTAGGTGTAGAATTCAAGTACAGATGAATGGTGATCCACCACTGCAAGAGACGCTTCGTTTCGATGAGAATGGAAAGGGCATGTGCCAGGTAAATTATATGATGAATTGTTTATGTGAGCCGCATGATATATAAATCTATGTGCATGATATCATGTTATGATTAGGAATTAGTGGATTCGCATATGTGTATGTTCGAACTGTTAGATATTTCTCACTCAGCTTCGTTGCTGAGCGTGTAGCCTCTTTTTCCCCTTGTTACACGTAGGTAATCATGGAGTGGTTGACCTCGAAAGACATCTCATAGCGCAGCGTGACGGAGGAGATGTACGGATGCAGTGATTAAAGTATTGTTTGATTTAATTACAAGGCTTCCGCACTATTTGTATAAACTCTGATATGTAAATTAAATGTTTTTATTTATTGAAAAATATTGTATGTGAATACCAATTTAGTAGCAACCCGGTTCGCTAATCTATTTATTCGGGTTATGCGGGTTGGGGTGTTACATTTTGGTATCAGAGCATATGGTTTTAAAGTCGGTCTTCGGATCAATGCAAAATGCCATTTCAAATAAAAAGAAGGTAAAAGTAATATTATTTTGATAATATCAACAATGTCAAAAGTTATTTCCAAGTACTGCATCTGCATCCTCCATGTCATCTCTGCCTCCCGGGAAGGTAATAAGTTATTATGGCTTAAGTGTTTGTATGGAGCTGATTGCTCAAGTTACTTAAACTGAACTGATTGTTCGAATAGTTATGCTGAGCTGATTGCTCAAATACTTGTATGAAGCTGATTGCTTGAATGTCTGTATCAAGTTGATTGTTGGAATATCGGTGTTGAGCTTCAATTGTTGGTTATTGTGCATACTGAAATGCGATAGTCTAAGATAGGAATTCACATCCTGTAGATGGAACCTATTACTATAACGTGAATGCTAGCATCAACTCTGACAACGAGATGCTAGGTAACAAAAAAAATAGTGTAAAAATATACTCATAATAAAGTATCTTGTCTAATATTCAATTATCTAATATGATCACTAGAATGGACAACCAAATTCTGAAGGGGCTGCAGACCCGGATGGATGAGGGAGTCTTATTTTGGTGTCAAACGGGAATGACCGTATAAAGGACAATGAGAACTTGTTTGATTAATAAAGAAAGCAATACTTACCACCAGCACATCATAGTGTAGTGATGTGGCTGGATACAAACCAAAGGTGTGTAGTGAATAATCTATCCTGCAAGACGTGACGTACCGACATGCCCTGATCGACAAGATGAGACGAATGAAGCAGACTCGAAAGAGGTTACGACATCAACACGTAGAAATGTGTTGGGCCGTTAGCGGACACACCGCTGAAGGGCTTCTGACCCGTTAAAAAAAAGGTCTAAATAGTAGGCATTGGTGACACCGATAGTGTTAGTGGTGACTCAAAGAACTGTTTGAGATATAACTTTAATGAATCGACAATGAATCAGTCTAATCTCGACTATGCTGTTTGAAGATTTTAGGTTACGACTCGCGAGGGGTGAACTCACTCCAAGACCGACGAATGCACTTAATGCCGAATACATTACTATAATGTCATGTCACAAAGTTGAATGTCACCTGAAACTAGAGGACGAGCCTCTGAGTGTTTGCCAATAACGTAGCATCCTGATGAAGCTGCGAATCACCTAAAAAAGGGTAGTAGCGATAATCCTGAACGCCGAGGTACAGTGGGTATGCCGACTAAGTACGACCCATCAAGGGTACAAGGCCGAAGCAAATGTGAACACGATGAATGTGCATGACTCAACCTCACATAGACACTTTATTCAAAGGACTAAACTCATGTCACGGTATAGACCTGAACATGAAGAATTGTCGAGAAGAATCTTGCGACTAACACCACGCGAACTACACAAGCTAAATAGGGCGTACAACACACCCCTAGGGATGTGACGACTAAGGTACGTCATACACCTGATGAGACTATAGCTATATCAACAATAACTGACGCCGTAGAGCTGATGGACATGACACAAAAGAATACGAATGACGACAACCGCATAACAGCGAAGAATGCTGACAATACAGTACCGATGAGTACAACACACGAACCGTTTGACAACATGTACGAAATCTGATTAGATGCGTGACACCACACGAGCCCCAATCGAATATACCGAGCAAACGTGAGAGATTAATGACGCGTAAAGGAACGATTATTGCTCCGACTTCTGACAAAGTACCCTTTTACCTGCAAGTCAAACTTGTCGTTGATGGATGAATCATGATGAAATTTGTTCTGCAAGAAATGAACTGATAACAAACTATTCGGTGAACGATATCTTCCAAATTTAATCATGCACGTATGGAGATCGTATAATTAAGGGTTCCTGAAAGAATCGCTCGAGAAATGAGGTGAACCGTAGGAAGTAATTCTTGAAACACCTTGTCGAATGTGTGTGATTCTACGAAAATTGGGTTTGAATATCGTGGCAAACAAACGACTAATACTCCTGAACTGTTAAAGTTTATTTTTAATTTACATTTGTATGTTGACTACATTGATTGTCCTCGACTTTGATCCATTGACGTCGGTCAAACTCCTACACGTGAATGGAGTGGTATCTCCATAACGAATTGCCAACCCTCTTCCCAAAATCAAGCAATGACGTACTTGTAGTGATAACAATGCCTTGTGTGCAAGATTTCTATGTAATAATGCTAACTTTGACTTTTAAACTCGTATTCTATGAAACTGTTGACTAAACCGTACTTAAGAACATATTCAAAATAGAACACAATTATGAAATCGTCATGATCATACTGAACCAGTCTGAATGTCGCCGAAGATCTGAACGATGATTATTTTACTCCACCAACAACGAAGACACGTGTATGTATGAACAAGAAGAAGGTGTTGTATCTCGTCACTTGAAGTATCCAAATCACCCGAATGGATCGCGTGAAGAGTTGTTGAACGAGGAGTTGACACAGAGACCGTTACATGTAAGCTTATGGATTGCTAACCAAACTCTTAAAACAAAAATTTTGAATTTCCTAAGTACCTCAACATTATCAAAGATTGTGGGTGTAACCATATATTGAAGAGTCTCATTTCTAGTTAGAAAGAGAGCCGTTGATAATAGACGATCGAATTGATTTCCACTTGGAGTATATCTTGTTATATACTCGAATAAACAAACAAATACACTAATAACGAGAGCACATTGTCGAACATGAATAATAATCAAATAGTAGTCCGTTATTACTAAGCACCAGGAGTTGACTCCTCTCAAGAGAAATCCAAGTATGAATTAATAATGCCAGGAAACCGACCTTGACGACGTGCTACATGAATTGTGACCTGATGACGCGATAGGAAAAAGGAATAACTCGAGACAGACATATGAAACAATTTCCTAAACTCCATTGTCGACCACACGGAAGTGTGAACGTTACGATACAATCCTGCTAATCAATGAGAAATCTTGAGAAAAATCTTATGCTACTGTCATTAGCTAACGACACAAATGAACTTCGAATACGAACTGAATGATTGATCAAATAATTGATGCTACGATATTTGGAAGCTTAAGTATTGTTAGAACGTGCTATGGAGGTAATCCATATGTATCTGTTGAAACAAGCTCGAGAAAGACCAAATTTTGAACTCGACGAACTTGTCGCATGTCTTGAACGAAACACGAATACAAACCTCTTAAGGTAATACCTCGAATGATAAACGAAGGGAATTTCCGTGGAAATGGCGTGGCCATTCACCTAATCATGACTGCAATGCGAATGTGAACCTATTTATGGAACTCTCTACCTTAGAAGAATTTCGAGGACGAAATTCCTTTAAGGGGGGAAGAAATGTAACACCTTGTAAACCGGTCTAGAAGGTATTCGTTATTTAAATAAATAGGAATGATTTATTTACAACTTATTCCTTAAAGAATAATTAAGATACTTCGGAGATTCTAATTGTCTTATTATATTGAGACTAATCTAATTATATTTGTGAATATCTGAATTAAAAAGACTAATCTGTATTAATTAACCAAAAGAATTAAGACGGACCACGTGGAACCTATGAATACTTGTTGAACGATTATAAAAGTTATACCATTGGGTAGGGAGCGACCAATCGAATCCAACGATGCAAACGGATCTTAATTCGGAGCAAGTTGGACCGAAAAGTGTGTCTTTACTCAGACACGTTATTTTAAATTATGGAGCACAAAACCCTAGAAATATAAATACACCCTCTCCCGTTTCTTCTCCTTCTTCGATTGAAAACCTCCGCCACCAGTCTTGTCTCCCTCTTCGATCTGACCGAGCAGCACCAAGACGGCGACGACAATTCCCACCTGCGACACAGGCGCACGACGATCGGCGGAAAACTAGAACCCCGGCGGCGGCGACACGCGATGACAGCGCCCAGGGATTCGGTGGTGAGCAGACCTGACCCGGTTCCCTGGTGGCTCCCTCTCGATTTCCGGCGGTTGGGCGGAGGTGGCAGGTGGCGTGGGGGACGAATTCTGCCAGCAAACCCTGTCCAGCGACCTCTATTCCGGCGACGGCGAATCAGCAGCGGGCAACCCTCTTTTCCGGTAAAGCGCAGCGTTAGACCAACGATGATTCGGTGACCCCCCTGGTTCCAACGATGATCAGGCAGCAAGTCAATCCGGCCAGAACAGGCAGTTTCGACAATCAATTTGGGTGACCGGCTTCGGGTGACGTTCCTTGGAAATGAATCGAACGAACGAGGTGAGTACGTGGACATCTAACACTAGAACGTGCATATATGTTTGAAATTCCGTTCATAATTTTTATCATGGTTGATCTATGTGATTTGTCTATGAAATTGTTGGTTATGGTTTTGGGAATTGTTGTCGTTGAATCGGAAAGGGTAGTATGCATGACTTAGGCCTTGATCGACAAGTTTGATAATGTTTGGAACGTATGATGAATTTATTGGAGTTGTTGAGTATGAAATTGCTGTTTGTTTGACATTGGAAAAACGAAACAGGTATGAATATGGAATTGGTGGTGTCAGACGGTAGGCGGTACCGCCAGGACGGTACCTAGCTACCGTCACACCTTGTCTGTCTGTTCTCTTCTGTCGGTAGCTGTAACCGTTCGGTACCTGGGTACCGGACGGACGGTAGGCCCTACCGCCTGGTCGGTAGTCGGCTACCGTGACAGCCCTACCGGAAGAACCCAAGTGGTTCAGACGGTACCCCGGGTACTGTAGGACCGGTACCCAGGTACCGTAGGACCGGTACCCAGGTACCGTATGGACGGTACCCCATACCGTGATAGGTACCGTCAGGTACCTGATGTCGAGTCTGTTGATATGTGTTTTTGTCAAGGATTGATTCTGAGACCTTATATGTTGTATGACGGTAAGTTTGGGTATCAATACCCAATGCTAGGCCGCTATGTGTTATAATTGTGATTGTTATGTGTTGATCCAATACTTATATGAACTAAAATTATTAGGGTGATCCAACACATGTGTGACTATGTGAAGTGCATATGTTGGGATATGATAATGTAAGTATGAGTGGGCTGATCCAGCACACAGCAAATAGGTACTGCGCGTTGATCCAAAGCGTTGGTAAGGTAAGTCTACCCAAAGGGAATCTTTGGGACTGACATAAATATAGGAAGTTAAGAGTATAAACCAGGTGGAGGTGGATGCCTGCTGGGCTCCAATGGTTAAGTCGAACCGGGTAAAAACGTACGTACGGGTATCCTTGAACTGCCTGGTGATCCATCAGGTGGGGATTCCACCCACCCAACAGAGAACTTCTTCGTTGGTTGAGCATGACCCGCTGATCCAGTGGGAACCGTCATGTCTCCCATACAGTAAAGTTATAGTCCTTAGACTAGTATAGGTTATAGGGACCAGGGCTTGGTGATCCACCAACCGTGAGAATTCCCTCGTTTGTCGAGCATGATCCGCTGTTCTAGTGGGAACAATCATGACTCCCAGAAAAAGTAATAAGTCATTAGTCTAGGTGTAGAATTCAAGTGCAGATGAATGGTGATCCACCACTGCAAGAGACGCTTCGTTTCGATGAGAATGGAAAGGGCATGTGCCAGGTAAATTATACGATGAGTTGTTTATGTGAGCCGCATGATATATAAATCTATGTGCATGATATCATGTTATGATTATGAATTAGTGGATTCGCATATGTGTATGTTCGAACTGTTAGATATTTCTCACTCAGCTTCGTTGCTGAGCGTGTGGCCTCTTTTTCCCCTTGTTACACGTAGGTAATCATGGAGGGGTTGATCTCGAAGGACATCTCAGAGCGCAGCGTGACGGAGGAGATGTACGGATGCAGTGATTAAAGTATTGTTTGATTTAATTACAAGGCTTCCGCACTATTTGTATAAACTCTGATATGTAAATTAAATGTTTTTATTTATTGAAAAATATTGTATGTGAATACCAATTTAGTAGCAACCCGGTTCGCTAATCTATTTATTCGGGTTATGCGGGTTGGGGTGTTACACTTTCTGTCTTTAGAAATGAAATATTTTATGCAACTGCAAGAATGACCAACGGTCTCTATGTCCTCGACATGGATACCGCAGTATATAACGTGGATGTTAAGAGAAACAAACCTAACAGTTTGAATCTCGCGTACCTATGGCGTTGTCGTTTGGGCCACATTAACGAGAAACGCATATCTAAGTTACATCGCTCAGGTGTACTTGATTCATTTGACTTCCAGTCATATGATGTATGTAAGTCTTGTTTACTTGGTAAAATGACAAAGGCTCCATTATATTCACCAGTCACGGTGAAAGGGCGAGTGACTTATTGGGCCTCATATACTCCGATGTGTGTGGTCCAATTAGAACTGTAGCTAGAGGTGGTTATTCTTACTTTGTTACATTTACTGACGACCTTAGTAGATATGGATATGTGTATGTCATGAAACACAAATCGGAATGCTTTGACAAATTCAAAGAATTCAAGAACGAAGTAGAAAAACAATTAGGCAAAAGTATTAAGACCCTCCGCTTGGATCGAGGAGGTGAATACTTAAGCCTGGAGTTCGATGACTATCTGAAAGAGCATGAGATCTTATCCCAACTCACTCCTCCGGGGACACCTCAGTTAAATGAAGTGTCTGAGAGGAGAAATCGGACTTTGCTAGACATGGTCCAGAGCATGATTAGTCTGACAACATTGCCAGAATCATTTTGGGGATATGCATTGAAAACAGCAGCACACACACTCAACAGAGTTCCATCTAAAGCTGCCGAGAGCACACCATACGAACTATGGCGTGGGAGAAAACCGAGTTTCTCATACTTTAAAATTTGGGGCTATGAAGCTTATGTAAAACGTCTCATGACGTCTAGTAAGTTGGAGCCTAAATCTGATAAAGTAATTTTTGTGGGATACCCCAAGGAAACTAGAGGGAGATGAATCTTAAGATTGTTCTCGAATGCGAGAAAAAGCTTTACGTCCTAACATCTGAGCCTCCCAAATCTCCTGAAGCGAACGCCCGTGCAGCAGAAATTACTTCGTACCAGAAGTATGAAGATGACGCCCGTGATGTGAGATGTATCATGCTAGCCACCATGACCCCGGAGCTCCAAAGGCTCCACAAGGACATGGAAGCTCATCCTATGATGACTCGCTTGAAAGGTCTATAACAAGGCCAGGCTAGACATGAACGTTTCAAAATCTCTACGACTCTGTTTTCCAGTAAGCTGGCAATGGGTAACCCAGTTGTTCCCCACGTTCTCAAGATGATCGGTCAGATCAAAACTCTTAAAAAACTGGACGCCCCGTTGCACCCTATGCGGGCAACTGATCTCATCTTGGGATCATTACCAGCTAAGTATAGTCAACCTGTAGTGAACTTCTACATGAACAAACTAGAGATGACTATGCCTGAGCTACTAAAATTCCTCACAACTGCTGAGGAGAGTCTAGGGAAGGGCAAGGGTAAGTCTGTCCTGATGGTAGAGGGTAGTACTGTTGCGAAGAAGAGTGGGCCACGTTCGCCGGCCGGGACCAAGCGCAAGAGTTCTAAGAAACCCAAGCCAGCGTCTAACTCCTCTTTGTTGAAACCCAAAGAAGGAGCTAAGAAGAAGTCTGTTGTATGCTATTATTGTGGCAAAAAGGGCCACTGGAGGCGCAACTGCGCAAAATTACTGGCAGAGAGGAAAGAGGGAAAGAATCCTCAAACCTCAGGTATCTTCGTTATTGAAGTCAATATGTCTGATATCACCTCTTGGGTGATGCATACTGGATGTGGTTCTCACATCTGTACTTCTATGCAGGATCTGCATGAACGTAGACAATTGACGGAGGGAGAGATACAACTAAAAGTCGGTAATGGCGCACTCGTAAATGCATTAGCCGTCGGAACCTATAGTTTACCTCTACCTAGTGGTCTTGTATTGCAGTTAAATAATTGTCTATTTGTACATAGTATGAGCAGAAACATCATTTCTGTATCCTGCCTTGACAAAGCAGGATTTTCGTTCGTTGCAAAAGACAAACCTCTTTCTGTCTTTAGAAATGAAATATTTTATGCAACTGCAAAAATGACCAACGGTCTCTGAAAGTCGGTTTACACCCTAAGAGGGGGGTGAATTAGGGTGTTTGCAAATATTTCGAAAAAAAAAAAAAACTGCGCAAAGTAGTAGCGGAAAAAGAGCAAGAAAGATATGAAGGATAAAAATACGACACAAGCAATTTTATACTGGTTGGGGAACTCCCTACTCCAGTACCTCGAGGCTCCTCCTCAAGGATTTAACCTCCACTAACTTGCTTGGCTTCACTAAGAAGACTCAAACGAGGTTTGGCAAACAACCCTTGCCAATAAGCAAATGATATTTTACTATGGCTATCTCAACCGTTTAAAACCGAAGATTTTAAGGCTATATTCAACCTTACACTGAGGATTTAAAGGCTATCCACACCTTTTACAAATCAATAAAAAATTGGTGTTGCTTCTCTACCAAAATAATAACAAATATGAATTGGGTAGGAGAAGAACAAAAGATTAAATCAACAACAACAAAAGCCTATACGCAAGATATAAAATAATGAAGCACAAATGCCCTTGCGTGTGAGTGTATAAAAAGATGAAAGCTTTTTACTCAAAAGAGTAAGAAAAATAAGAACAAAGGTTTAAGAACACTCAAGAATTAGAGAAAGAGGCTTTAGATTTAATTGAGAAGTTGTTGTACATAAAATGAGACTTAGAGGGGGTTTATATAGGAGTTTGGAATGTTAAAATTTGAGTTTTTAACGTTAAATGCCGTTAGGAAGTGATTAGGGGTGATTTGAATTTAAATTGGCAATTTGCTACCGTGCTGCCAACGGATCTGGTACCCTTCACGGTAGGGCCAGTACCGTCCGGTACCTAGGTACCGTGACACACGGTACAGCCTACCGTTTGGGGGTACCGTGTTGGCCAAAAGTTAGGTTCGCTACTGGTGGTACCTGGTTAGGACAGGGTACCCAGCCGGTTCAGCCTACCGTACGGTATCCAGGTACCGTCTCACGGTAGGGGGGGTACCGTGTACCTCCTGAGTGAAACGTACCCAGTACGTTCACTAGGCTACCGGTGGTACCCTGGTGCCGTGTATACGGTAGCCAGGTACCGTTAGGCTTGTGTAAAAATTCCAAAACTTGTTTTTCGTGTTTCGTTTTCAAAATAACCCCAACTAATAATATATTTGTCATTTTAAAATTAAATTTTGAGTGAAAGGGCATAAGTAACTCATTAAAATATATCATTACCTTTACACAACAATTTCTAAACTCGTAGGAGTATATCTCGGTGATGCTAAACAAGCTAATAGAGGTTTTGGCGTTTGTTTTTCCTGCAAATGATGTTAGTAACATTTCGATGACTTATTTGGCACATCAAAACGGTTACGGGGTACGGCATTCAAGGCCAACAATCTCCCCCTTTTTGATGTTGACAAATAAGACTTTCAAATATAATAATCAAACGCACAAACATATCGTGAAAAGCATATATTGATTTTAAAACTCCCCCTAAGTTGATGCACGTGATATTTTGATAAAAACTCCCCATAAATTGATGCATATGAAAGCCTAATATTTCTCCCCCTTTTGGCAACATTCAAAAAGGCGGGGTACCAAAAACACGAGGTTCAACACAATGGCATTCATTATGGCAACAATTATAGGCATTCAAGTGAACCATAAGCATAATCATAAAGGGGTTAACAATCATAAAAGTGCATAAGTAGGAGTTTTAAACATGAGACATGATAGGAGTTTGAAGCATAAAACAAAATACATAATAATTTTTTTTTTAAAAAAAGAACATAGATAAGTGAATGTTTGATCATTTTGTCAAATGCTCAATACTTAGCGACGACGTCTAGAAGCACGATCCTCATTTTGATTTTGGCGATTCTCACGGTCTTCCATCTTCTTCATCCGATCCGAGAGGTCATCAAGGCTTTCTTGAATTTTCTTCATCGGAGCCACTACGGTCTTGAGGATGAATTTCTTAAACTTCTTGAAGGGGGTTTTGGAGGTGGAAGCCATTTGAGAGTGACGGTGCAAGAGAGAGGCCGAAGAAGCATGAGACCCTGACTTTGAGCGTTTGACCCTAGGAGCATGAACGGGGACATCCGTGTTGGCATTTTCTTCGGCTTCGGCCCGGGGTGCTCGTGAAGTAGATGGCACAGAGGACAAGGATCGTCGAGGGCCATACTCCGCTCGTGTAGCTTCATCAAGATTTTGAAACTCCTTCTTCATGTAGTACTCTTCCCCAATTTTCACAAGGCCACAATAGCCAAGGCACTCCGCATCAAGATAGCGGACACGAGAAGGGTTCACCTCAAGAATTTCCCTCTTGGCAAAGATGTGGGTAAGAAGCATGTCATAGGGTTTGTTTTGGTGACCAGAGCATTCGTACATGTGTTTTAGGATGATGGAAGGGAGATTGATTTTCTTGTGAGTGAGGAGCCAATATAGAAGAGTGCATTCATAAACCCCAACTTGTTTATCTTTGTTAAGGACTGGTATGATATTTTCTTTGAGGATTTTGAGAAGGATGAACCTATTTGCGGGTAAGTCTTGAACATTTGGCCTACGAAGAAAGTAGTGTGGGTCCTCAAAGACATGGTCAAGAGCAATGTTATTAAGCACTCAGAGGCAAGAATCGGAGTTGAAGTCTCGGGAGTCGGTAATCCACCCCTTTTTGCAATAGGTAGAGACTCCTTGACGCTCTAGGTGAAACCATTCGGAAAGGTTTTGGGTGTTGAATCCGAAGGTTTTTCCAGCAACTATGGTGGTAATGGAAGGGTCTTCGGGATAGTATTTCATAGAAGAATAGAATTGATGAACGAGGTCCGGGTAAACGGGGGCTTGGAGTTGAAGAAAGAAACTCCAACCTTGTTCTTGAATTAGTTCAAGAACGGGAAACGGGATGTCATCTTGTTTAAGGGTTCTTCCCTCGATGATATGTGGGTCGGAATAAGCCTTGAACCCATCTTGAACATCGGTTTGAACATTTGAAACAATTTCACTCATTTTGGAGATTTTGAGAAAATAGGTAAAAGTTGACGAAAAATGGGAAAAGTGAGACAAAATACACGAATTGAAGAGAGTATATGAAGTAATTGATGAATTGAATAATATATATGAAGAGATTTAAGAGATTGGATGAAGAATTACCTAGGTTTAGGAAGGAATCGACTTACGGGAGAGAGAGACGGGAGGAGACGCCGGAACGAGATGCAGAGAGAATGGCAGAACCGAGTGGGAAAACTAGGGTTCTAAAAGGTTTGACCCGACGTGACGGTCGGTACATTGGTATCGTGTCAACGGTATCTGGGTACCGTGTTACGGTATGGCATACCGTGTCCAGGTACCGTGTAGCTTCCGAAATCCCATTCGTTTCTGGCGGCACCTATTTAGGACGGGACCAGGGTACCATCAGGGGTACCGTGTCTTAGCTTAATGTTTTGTTTCGACTTCTAGACGCGTGTTTTGAGCATTTGGACTTGATCAATTTATTTTTATGATATAATGGGATAATAAGAACCTTAAATTTCACTTTAATTCAAGCATTCCCATTTCCCGACAAATATGTAAAAATTGTTTTTCATCCAATGGTTTTGTAAAAATGTCGGCACGTTGTTCAAGCGTATTTACATATTCAATTTGAATATCTCCCTTTGAAACATGATCACATATGAAATGATGTCTTAATTCTATATGTTTAGTTCTAGAATGCAAAATGGGATTTTTGGAAATATTTATTGCACTTGAATTATCACAAAAAATAGGCACTTTTGAAAATTTTAAATTGAAGTCACTAAGTGTTTGCATCATCCATAAAATTTGAGCAACACAACTACCCATAGCCACATATTCCGCTTCGGCGGTGGATAGGGCGACGTAGTGTTGTTTCTTAGATGACCAAGACACTAGTGCATGACCTATGAACTGACATGTGCCACTTGTGCTTTTCCGATCAATACGAAACCCTCCAAAGTCGGCATCACTAAAACCTATCAAGCTTAAATTCGTATTCTTAGGATACCATAACCCCATATTGGTCGTTCCCTTGACATACCGAATTATTCGCTTGACGGCATTAAGATGTGATTCTTTAGGTGATGATTGGAAACGTGCACAAAGGCAAACAGAAAACATTATATCAGGTCTAGATGCAGTTAAATAAAGCAAACTACCAATCATACCTCGATATACCTTTTCATTTACGGTTTTTCCGCTTTCGTCGCTATCAAGCTTCAAGGATGTGCTCATTGGAGTTGGATATATTTTTGAATCTTCAAGGTTGAACTTCTTGACTAATTCTTTGGCATACTTGGTTTGACTAATGAAAATGCCATCTCCTAGTTGCTTAATTTGAAGTCCAAGGAAGAAGTTCAACTCACCCATCATGCTCATTTCAAATTCGCTTGTCAT